GGGCTCTCTCATTGAAGAGTCCCTAAATCTTCCATCTCCATGTCCAGCCCTAGATTCTCTGCTTCTGCTATCCTCTGGGCACCTCCACCTGACCACCTCCAGGCCCCTTGGAGCCAGCAGGATCCAAGCCAGGCTCAGCATGTAGCCCCATACCTGCTTCTCTTCCCAGCTCACCATGATGGAAAGGGCCCCACTGTCCCCTGTCCCTGAATGGGAGACCCAGGCATTGTCCTCACGCCCTTCCATCCTTTCACACCATGACCTCATGTTTTCAGATCTTATCAGTTCTCCCTCTGCAATCTCTCCCCAACTGTCCCTTCCTAACTCTCTGCAGGGCTCCCACATTGTCACCTCCCTCCTAGACCCTTCCCCCGGCCTGACCATCCCCATCTTCTTTCCCCTGGCCTCCCTCCCACCTCCCATTTGGTCTCCTCTACCTCCACACTGGCTTCCCCATCTCCACACTCACTCTCTCCCTGCCTCTCCTGTCTGTGTAGCCAAAGGCACCTGTATCAAAAGTGACATAGCCACAGCCTTCCTGCTCCAAACCCTCTCAGGGGTCTCCACTGCAACTGATGGAAACCAGGCTCCTCTGCAGCCCATGAGGCCCTGCAGGTATGGCCCCTGACTACCTGTCTATCCTCCTCTCCATCTATGAATCATTCACTTCTCAAAGGCATGAACTCCTCAGCTTCGCCAGACACACAGTCATGCCCACAGCAAGAAACGAGCTTCCACCTTTTCCCCTTCCAGGGACAGTCCATGAAGTCCCTCTGCTCATCCCTCTTTCCACCCCCAGCTCCACACTGACTGCAGCAGCCCAGCAGGGGGAAGTGAGGCCGGATGGACAGACAGATGGACGGATGAGTGGATGGGCAGATAGAAGGAGGGACGGTGCATGGGTGGAAAAATGGATGAGGGGATGGATGTATAATGAATTTGGGAAACAGATGGATGAATGGATGGGTCGATGGGAGGATGGGTGGATGGATGGGGGAGCAGATGGATGGATTGATGGGTGGATGGATGGGCAGACAGTTGGATGAACGGATGCGTGGATGGATGGGGAGACAGATGATGAATGGAAGCGTGGATGGATAGATGGAAGGATGGGTGGGTGGGTGGTCAGATGGATAGACGGCTGGATGAGGGGAGCAGATGGATGAATGGATGAAGGAGCAGATGGATGAACGGATGCGTGGACGGATGGGGAGACCGATGAACGGAAGTGTGGATGCATAGATGGATGGGTGGGTGGATGGCCAGATGGATAGATGGATGGGTGAGGGGACAGATGGATAGATGGAAGGATGGACGTATGGACGGATGGATGGGCAGATGAACGGTTGAAGCAGCCTGGCCGAGATGCAGGAGGAATCGGGGCGGCGGGCGGCGGGGAGGGACAAATCCCTGCAGAACCCACCGGCCTCTTCTAGACCTCGGCGGGCCTTAGCTTCCCCTCTGAACAAAGGGGGCGTGTGACCTGCTGCGCAGCCCTAAACTGTGTACTTACCCACTCAGGCCTCAGTTTCCCCCACTGTCCAGCGGGGTTGGGGTCCCAGCCTGGGAACCACGCGAACGTCCCACGATGCTCTCTTCCCGGCCGCCTGCTGCCGGGTCCCTAACCGCGCCCCCTCCCGTAGGGCCCGGGTCACCTGACTCCAAGCCCACCTCCTCCCGGGGAGGGGCCGGGCCGCGGGGACCCAGCGCCGGAGCGTCGCCGGGCAACAGTCCCCGCCTGGTCTCCACCTCCCAGTCGCGGCCCCGCCCCCTGGGCGGAATCCCCGCCCCCGAATCCATCAAATGACGGGACCGCCGCTTTCGAACAATCCCGCCCTCGCGTTGCCGTGACAACCACCTTTTATGGGCACTCTTTCTAGGTCCCGGTTCTTAGTCCCCCGCGCGGGCGCGGGCGGATCTCTCGGGCTCCGACTTCTCCGGTCACCTTCAGGCTTCAGTCCAGGCACCCGACGCCTCGTTCCCCTCACACTGGTAGGGCCGGGTTAGGCCGGGCCGGACTACATTTTCCAGGAGGCTCCGCGGCCAGGCGCAAACAGCGCGGTGCTGACTACATTTCCCAGGCAGCCTTGCAGCGGCCCGGGTGCTGAAGCGTCCATTTCCCAGCGGCCCTTTGCGGCGGGACCGTAGCCCTTCTCTGGAGTCTCAGCGCCCTAAGAGACTACCACTCCCAGGGGACTCTGCGTCGCACAAGAAAGACTACGCCTCCCAGAGGTCTCTGCGGCGTCGCGACCGGAAGCGGCGGGCGAGTCGAGTGTCCTTGCGCGTGAAGCAGAGCGACTATGGTGGCCCGGGTGTGGTCGCTGATGAGGTGCGTGGGGCCGCCGGATGGGACCCGAGTCCCCGAAAAAGTCCCTTTTTGTGGGCACCCCTGTCTCCAGCCTGCTTGCGATCTGCTCGTCGCTTCCTGTAGAGTTACCTCCCTTTCCTCCCCAGCCTATGGGCCAGATAGGGAAACTGAGGCTCCAGCGGGGTGGGGCTTCCCGAGGTCGCCAATCCCTTCCCTCTTGCCTCCCAGCGAGCCCTTCCCGTTCCGCTCACGGTGTCTGCCTCCGCCTCCGAGCCTCAGTTGTCTTCTCTGTGAAGTGACAATGCCTGGCGAATGCTGCCGCTGGCGTGGATGGGAGGTGAATGCGTGCTCAGAGCGAGTGACCGCAGGCAGGAGGCGTCCAGGGACACTTGGTTTCTCCAGGGCTGGAAGGCTCTGGAAAGTCAAGGATCTTTTTCACTGCCCCTGCTCACTATGGGACCCACTCTCCCGCTCTGGGTTTCAGTTTACCGATTAAAGTGGCATCCAGCCGCCCTGCCTTGCACATTGTGAATCGAGTGCTGTGTATGATAGGGGTCTGGGTCGACGGTGCTACACTACAGAGTGTCACCCTGTGGCCGGTGAGCCCCGGGGAGGGTCTGATTCGCCCCGTGGGCCTAGGCTTTTAAGGGTGGCAGTCAGTGTCCGCTAACCTTCTGCTCCTCACGTCCCTACCCGCAGGTTCCTCATCAAGGGAAGTGTGGCTGGGGGCGCCGTCTACCTGGTGTATGACCAGGAGCTGCTGGGGCCCAGCGACAAGAGCCAGGCAGCCCTAAAGAAGGCTGGGGAGGTGGTTCCCCCGGCCATGTACCAGTTCAGCCAGTACGTGTGTCAGCAGACAGGCCTGCAGATACCCCAGGTACTCCAGACTGGGAGCGAGGCCAGGGCTTGGCGAGTGGCCGGCTCTGGGGGTGCCTCCAGCCCTGCATGATGTCCTCCGTGTTGGTGCTCCCTGATCTCCTCCCTGTGTCTCTGGGGCCGGGCTGCTGGGTCTTTTCACCAGTTCTTTCTGCCCATCTCTCTTCCCAGCTCCCAGCTCCTCCAAAGATTCACTTTCCCATCCGTGACTCCTGGAATGCAGGTAGGCACCTGGTTTCTTTGCTTGTGGAGGTTGCTGCAGACACCCCAGTATAGCCCCTCTCCCCATGTCCTGGCCACTTTTTCTATCCATCCCCCTGCCTGCCCCACACGTGTCTCTTAGGGATCTAAAAGGGAAAGGAGGCTAGGCCTGGTGGCTTATGCCTGTAATCCCAGCATTTTGGGAGCCTGAGGTAGGCGGATCATCTGAAGTCAGGAGTTTGAGACCAGCCTGGGCAACACAGTGAAACTGTCTCTACTAAAAATACAAAAATTAGCTGGGCATGGTGGTGGCTGCCTGTAGTCCCAGCTACTCTGGAGGCTGAGGCAGGAGAACCTCTTGAGCCCCGGAGGTGGAGGTTGCAGTGAGCCAAGATTGTGCCACTGCACTCCAGCCTGGGCAACAGAGCAAGACTCTGTCTCAAATAAATGAATAAAAGGGAAAGGAGTGGGGAGATTCTCGGGAAGGGGCCGAGGGTGGAGCCTTTGAGGACTGGACTGTGGACCGCCTGTTAGAATGGGAGGTGGGAGGCCTGGGCCCACATCCGAACTTGTCCTATGAGCTTGGACAAGGCGAGACGCTGCCCCTCTGCTGCCTCAGTTTCTGCTGGAAGTTGTTCTTCTAAAAAAGACTTGCTTGTTAGGTGTGGTGGCTCATACTTACAGCACTTTTGGGGTCTGAGGCGGAAGGGCTGCTTGAAGCCAGGACTTTGAGAACAATCTGGGCAACATTATGAGACCCTATCTCTTCAAAAAGAAAAT